TAATGCACGAAGGCACCATTTTTCCGTTGGACAATTAGGAACGTAGTATGACGATGCTCCACACGGTGCCGGAGATGGTGCTCTGGGTGGGTTTGGCGACGCGTTGCCAAGCGCGCGTGCGTGGTGCGCTGGGGTGGGGAGCGGGGACGCCACGTGCTCGCCCGCGGGGACGCCGCTCGGCCGCGAGGGTGCCTGCTCCTGCCGTCACGTCACGCCGCCGCCGTCGCACGTTGGCGCAAGGACGCGCGCCCAGGGCCTGTGTGAGCCCAAGCTGTGCGCGGCCCAGCGCTGCGTCGAGGGTGTTCTCTGGAGTTTCAAGGTTTTCTCCCAGTTCTTATGTGTCGCTTGGATTTGGGGCCATGAAAGGTGTGACTTGCACAGAAACGGTTGGAACCCTGGACCGTGCTCACATCCAGCACCTGTCGGTGGCTGCTCCCGGGGAGGGCCGCACCCGCCCTGTCGGGGCCCTTTAGGACAGCGGCCCCAAGGCCTCCCTCAACCCCCACCCCCACATCTCCCTCGCCCAGCTCAGACGCACCGCAGCCTGGGGCTGACCTCGCGGTCCTCAAAGCCGATCCCTGTGGGTTTGTTTAAAATGGTCAGAACTGGACGTGATGGTGCCTAGTTGGGGGGCCCTCATCCCACAGACCTCCCCAACACCCCAAAAGTATGACAGATTGGGTCCTGATTCAACACGTAGCTGTACAGGCAGCATCTGACCCTGTGCACAGGCCAGGGCCCCAGCATGCAAACCACGCTGGCGCTGCCCCAGGGGTCCTATGCTGGGGGACAGGTCACACTTCCTGCTCACTGACACTCCCACACAGTGGCCTTGGGCTGCCTGCCTGGCAGTGACGCAGCTTGACTGAGGGCCCGCAGGGAAGGTGCCGGTTTGGGCCACTTAGTAGGCCCTGGAGAGCTGCTGCATGCTGGGCGAGTGTCTGACAGACACTGTCCAACTGAGCGGCTTCTGTGTATAAAAACAGCGTTCAAGCTATTTCCTGCTGCGTTTACATGCTCCCCTGAATGAGG